TTTCTCAACCATGTCTAAGTAAGTGACTAATTAAAGATGTCCAGTACAGTTATTTACCGCGACCGCTGCCATCATTCGTGAAGCGGACTGCAAATATAAGTTAGATATTTTTGCGCACCGCAAATGTAGGCCTATGTCTAAAAAAGTGCTCGTTTTTGTCAGTCCCTTACCAAAAAGTAGTATACTTCGTTTATTTTATTAAGTATACTTAAGTAACACTTGAATGTGGATAAGTTTCATAAATAAAAAATAAAGAAATAAACAACATTTTGAACAAAAAGCTGAAAAAAGACTATGAATTGGATTCAGAATGATAATCAAAACGTAGATAGAGTCGATCAACACCCCAAAGCTTGACAGTCATTATTACCTCTTCATGGGTCGACATTGCATCAACTTTACACAGTTTTGATGCTGTTTTATGTCTGATGATCGTGTTAGATTACATGTGGAAGCATCTGTTGTTTCGGTTTCTTCTTTACTTGTGTTTTTGGAAATTCTGTACAGAAAATGTGTACTAGCGCGCCCTACAGTATAACAATGAAAACACGGATTCTAGGAACACAAGTATAGCTCAAATATATTTAGACTTTTTCTAAGTAGGCTATAAGTCAAGTATACTTAAATGTCATTTTAAGTATATTTCTGAGAAGTACATAAAGCCCATTTCTGAGAAGTACATAAAAAGTAGACTAAAAGTATACTTTCCTATTTTTTAGTTTAAAATAAGTATACTAATAGCACACTTGAAAAAACTTCTTTTTCGTAAGGGGTGTCAGGCTCAATTCGGACAACATTATAAAAGGGATTCCTAGAGAGATAGATAATTGTTTTATCGTAATATCCCTTTTGTTTAAACTCAAACTGCCTTTATCGATCTCCTCAAACCCAGCAGACTCCATTGACAAACACGGTCATTTTACCTCGCATACCATAGTAAAGCAAGCTTCATTCAAACTCGACAGAAACAAAATAAAATTCACCAAAATGGTATGGGTTTGTCTTTCCGCAGTTCCAACAATCATCGACACTAGTTTTGGTCGAAATAAACCATAAGCTAATTCACTAGATGTGAAAATGTCAGGAGAGCAGAGGTGAAACAGCGCGTAACTTAACTCAGCAGAGTAGTATTTTACTGTAATGGATAACTGTGGTATTGTACTGTAGGTTTTTACAGTAGTGTGCTAAATCTACAGCAATTTCTAACAGTGTATTATGATTGATTGTATGAAGACTGTAATTGATTCTTTTTGTATGTTATGTAATTTTATGTAGGCCTATGTATTTATTTATTTATTTATTTATTCTCTCTTTATCTTCTCTGGATATGTTTGTCAATTGCCAGTTGAGTAACTGGTCTATTATTGATTGATTGAATACATTTGTGTTGATATGTGAAGAATCAGATGTTTAGATTAATAGTTTAAATAGAATGTGAACACTGAGGAAGGTCTTGCATGACCAAAACGTTTGTTGGTTTTAAAATGCACTGAGCACCTTTTTTGTACTTTGTAAAGAAGATTACTAGTAATCACATGCCAACATACTAGCAAACGAATTTCAAGTATTGAGTTGTTTACTCTTTTTCGTTGAATTTAAAATATATTTTTGCCACTCTCTTCTAACACTGAAATCCTTAGAAGGCTAGAGCCACAAATTCAGTTGGATACATAATTTTTCAAAATCACACTATTTAATAATTTAATATTTTAATAATACTTCATATTTAAATTAAAAAATTTTTTTTTTTGTTTACTTTTTTTCACAAATGGCAACTTTTATAAACTGTATTACTATTTTTTTTATTTTAAAGACATTTTAACATTGTAAACAGAAATAAAGGTGTTCTTGTGCACTTATTCTGCATGCTTTCCTAATAAAAGCATGGCACTATAGCAACGCCTATCATGGGTTTGATTTCCAATAAAATTAGCATCCATGAACTGATAAAAATGTACAGCATCAATGCAGTGTAAGATTCTGATAATTCAGATAAAAAACATCTGCCAAATGCATTTTTTCCTACTATGGAAGTCACTGTCAACTGTTTGGTTACCAACATTCTTCAAGATACTTTCTTTTGTGCTCAACAGAAGAAAGAAATTCATTCATGTGTGGTACAGCTTGAGGATGAGTAAATGATAACAGAATTTTCATTTTTGGGTGAGCTATCCCTTTAAGAAGGACATCATCTATCTCCTATTACTGTACCTATTAATAGTGGCCTATCTGTAAGTTCTCAGATTTATAGTCTGCTTGCAAAAATTGAAAAATGCAAAAAAAAAACAAAAAAAACATTTGATTTACTGGTGCAGCTGCTGCTGTTTTGTCTCTGTACTAGTTTTTGATATGTTCCCGCTTCTGCACATGGAGCTTTAACTACTGCAACTTTAGTTTGTTGGCGCCATCTTGTGGTTTAGTGGAATGCTCTCATGCAGATCATGTGTCTTTAGGAAAACAGTCATTGGTTACACTTAAAAATAAAGGTTTCAAAAAATGTATAGGTAGGTTATAGGTATAGTTTTTGAAGCGTTTATGATTTCCACTAATTCTAAGAACCTTTAATTACATATGATATCACAGAAAAGATTCTATAGAATATATGTTTCTTTACAAATCCATACGTGGTGCTTTAAATAACCCACTTAAAGGGATAGTTCACCCAAAAAAGAAAATGTCCCCATGATTTACTCACCCTCAAGGCATCCTATATGTAAATGACTTTCTTCTTTCAGACGAATGCAATCGGAGTTATATTGAAAAATGTCTTGGCTCTTCCAAGCTTTATAATGGCAGTGAATGGGTGTTATTTTTCAATAGTCCAAAAGAAGTTCAATAAAGCACATCCATTCATCATAAAAAGTGTCCCACGCGGCTCCGGGGGTGAATAAAGGCGAGTAAATAATTGGGTAATTTTCATTTCTGGGTGAACTATCACTTTAAAACTTTTACCTATTACTTAAACCTTATCATTTTTCCCGCATGACACCTAGAACAAATACATAGATCTGAAGAACTTGTAATGCCTATTGCACAGGCTCACTTTTTTAATATTTAAAGAATTATATATGCAATTTTTAAAAAATCAATCAAAATGATTCTTGATAAGAGGGTACTAACATTAAGTTGCTGTAAAGAATCAGTTAAGAACCTTAATTTTTAAAAGTGTTCCATTTTCCCCAGGAAAAGCCATATATTATATACAGTATTCATAATGGGTCATTGTGCTCTGTGATGCAACATTAAAATGGCCTTATAAATAATAAATGTTTAATCAAATCTTAATGTTAAGAAATCACTATAAGGTGACTTCATCACTGATCTGTCTAAATTATTACAAAAACTGGAAAATAAAGTGCATTTTGGACTACTGTAAAGACTTTTAAGCTAAAGAAAAAACTTTTAAAAAGAGTACACCATGTAAATAACATGTTAATATGAACATTAGGAGTAACTTTTGCAGTCGATGATGATGGACAACTTATTAAAATCATTTAGCTTTTTTCTAATACGTTTCAAATACAAAATGACTGCAACTTCCAAGCAACAGCTTCATAAAAACCTTTGCTTAGTCTAACAACAACTTCTATAAATGGTAGAACTATTACAAATGGCTACCACAATGGCTCTAACAACCATTACAAATAGCTAAATTTTCCTCTATTCTTCACCAGTTTTTTCCTAACCTGAATTAATTGCCCTCTTAAACTATTTTCTATATTTTGATGAATTCTTTCTATTGTTATGAAACACATTAAGGAGTATTTGTATAGGACAATTTGGTCAGGAACTTTTTATTTTTATTTCTCTCATGGGAAATAAATATTGCTTGCATGTTGCTTCTCCACTGCTCAGCTCATTAATCAAACCAACATTTTTTTTTTTTTACCACTAACAGCCTGCTAACACAATAATTCCAATTTATTTATTCTTTTGATACTGCCAGCTATTGCACAATTCATACAATTCATTCTCAACTTCAGTTTTTCAATTTAAAAAGTGCTATTCATGAATCAATGTAACAAGACATCGGTTATACCACTGTAAAATAAAGCATTTAGAAAGCCAGATTACTAAATTAACAGGAACTCAATGCTTACTTGTTGCTCTGCTTAGAGTACAGATCTCATAAAACCTGCTTTAAAAAGGCAAAATATCCTAATGTAAATCTGAAATATAACACACACAACAGCTTTTGATTATCTTCAAAGCAAATAAGAGGAAACTGATTCACATTATCTCCTGCAATTTCATAAAAATGTTTATTTTTGTACGACGAGGTCTCAAACTTTCTTGCCCTTTCACATCATATAAACCACATACATTTTAATTTCAAGAATCTGTCCACAAGCACACCACATCTCCCATCCATCATAAACTGAACACACAAACGTGACAGCATCATCAATAGGTGCCTCTCTTTGAGGGCAGTATCTGATCTGTCACCAAAGAATACATCGCCATCATGCCCCAAACTCCTCTATGTACAGATAGTTAAGATCCTGTGATAACTAAAGAAAGATAAAGAACTGCTGGATAAAAATGTTCCTTTTTTTTTTTTTTTTTTTTAAGATGTTGACAGTGAATGAAGGAAAGGGAAATGTACAAAGAGGGGATGACAAAGTGCTCATATAGTCACAAAAACCACTGATTAAAAATTCTCTGAAACAGACATAATAGCTTGCAAATTTAGCACCGCTTAAACCATCTTGAAAGATTGAATGCATCCATTTAAATGATCATACAATATCATAATATGTCATACTATCATTTTTCCATCCTTGCGGAAAAAAGAGTGAAAGTTTTCAGGCAGTCTGAACTTATAGACCTTTTTCACCATGATATTATCTACTTTGGGTTTATGACTTATTTACATTTTATAAATACATGAAAACAATGCCAATTTCAGATGTATCACTGCAGAAGCACTGCATTAACAATGTCGTTTTTAGAATACAAAGGTTTTACAAAGGTGTTTTAAGCAACATGTTTTACCATGTTCTTAAAATGGCATACAATGCTCGTTATATGAAGCTGTCATTTGGGGTCTAATTTAATAGTCCTCTTGTGTTATTCTCAAATTCTTTTCCAATGTCTACGTCACTGTTTGTGACCTCCTTTGGGCTGGAATTACTAGGACTGGTTTTATTTTTCTCCTTTTTTTCATCCAACTTGGGATTTGTTGTCTCTGAAACAGAAAAAAAAAGAACGGTTTTTACTTTACATGATGATACTTTATTTTAATAAAAAAATATATATAAAAAATACACACTTTATTATTAATAATTTGCCTGAATTTGATTCATGGATTAAATTTCCACATATTTTAATATGCATTTCATCTCTTAACAGGACAAGCCAAAGATGCATTTTGACTTACGCTCTAGATTTAAAAGACGGCCACCATCTACTTCACTGCTTCCAACAGCATCATTGTCTTCCTCGCTGAGTTCCACTATTCGCTGTCTTGCACTCTCAAAAACAGACTTCAAAACAATGGAGTCCTCAAAAATCTAAGATATAGAGAGACATTTAACAATCTCTACACAATTCACCTTCTTTATTCACTGAGACAAATAGCTTTTTGAAAATATTCAGACCCATTTATCACACCCGTTAAAGGGATAGTTCACCCCAAATGAAAATAGTATGGAAAAAAATACTATGGAAGTCAATGGTTACCTTCAACAGGTTTGGAACAACTTGTGGGTAAGTAAATGATGACGGAGTTTTCATCTTTGAGTGAACTATCCCTTTAAGTACTAAAGTAATAGTTTTAATGTTAAATGCAAATATAAACAGACAGTTTTTTTATGTTAGACAGGCTCTAAGTTTATATATACCCATGTAAGTTAAGAACTTGCAAATAAAACATTCAAAAACACGCAATACCAAAATAAAAAACAAATCTAAAGGTGTGCTCAAAGTGAGAAAATTGGTTCATTGTGTAAATACCATTTGAAAACAGGGAATCCAAAAGAAATTTGAATTCGAAATGTTTTAGAAAAGTATTTTTAAAAGAAGAACATGTTCTTAAGGCACACCTGAGATCCTTCCAGATTAAACGTCTGAGCATTGTGGCACATCTGCATAATATCCTTTTCCAGGTCTGCAATGCACCTGTATTTGTGATTACGCACTCTCTCCTGCATAAACAAAACCAGGAAAGATTCAAAACGATACAAGAACAATGAAAAAGTTATATAAAGAGGCATGCATGTATTTCCTGTGAAACATTTAAATGTTTAATGACAGATTTTCATTGAATCTGCAAAAATATCTGCTTCCTTTATATCACTCTAAAACACAGCCAGCAAAAAACACAACCTGTGTGACAAGAGCAGAATCAATGCATTTTTTGAGCTGAAGTTATGTCAGTGCGGATATACAGTAAGGGGGGGGTTGGTTTGGAAAAAATAAGACAGATAGGACTATGGGATCTCGAATAAACATGCTGATAGGATATTAAATATGGTGTAGCTGAGAACAATTCAAGTTCACCCTGATCCTCCTGAAGTCGACTGGCTTGCGGATGAGCTCATAGTGCTCTGGCACCTCTTTTCTGGAGGGCAGCTGAATGAAACCTTTACTGATCTGTCGGCCCAACCTGTGGAATGGTGATACATTAAAAAAAAAAAAAAAAGAGCTGTTATGCATTTTATGGTGCTGTCTGACAGCACGCATGCACTGACCAGCAAACAAAGGGAATGTGTATGAACTTCAAACAGTTGGCAAAGTTCAATCCTTTTGTTTTAGTGTCACCATTTACATCATGTCACGAAGTAAAAACAGAGTCATCAACAACCAATTAAGTCTGTGTGTTTAACTACTAACGTGTCCTTGTAGTTTATGACCATGTCTACGATGGTGTTCATCTGTTTTGTGAGCTTGGGAGGGTTGGGTGGCAGCTTCTCAGCAGGAGGTCGACCCCGTCGCTTTTTGACCTTCTCCACCACCTCCTGACCAGTCTCAGAGCCCTGGTTACCTTGTTGATCGCGTTTTCGTTTCTTCAAGTTGCTTTCCTCCTCCATAACCTCAGACACTCCGTTTTGGATAGCCTGAGACTGAGGAAAAGACATAATCCATTGAAGAGTGATGAGCAGTACTGGATTTAACAGAAATAAGGATTTTGTACACTCTAAAAAAAGATGGTTCTTTAAAGGTTCTTCTTTACATGCAGTAATGGTTTTATTTAGAACCATCGCATTCTGAAGAACCCTTTCATGCTAAAATGGTTCTTTGTGTTAGAGTTTAGGGTTCTTTATTCCCGCCCTTTTGTTTTTCAAATCTGTAACTGACAAAGCACCTTAATACTGATTTTCTGGAGTTTAGTGATCCAACTACAGACTGTCAACACACTCTCAACAGGTAAATGATTTCATTCTTAAATTTAATTACAAATTTAACTTTAAAAATGTAACTGGCTTAAGTAACATGTTCTTATCTCTCTTTTTTTTTGTTTTGTTTTTGGTCACATATAAGTGTGTGCAGCTCTGCTAAGCTGTGGAAACTTCTCTCCTCTTCTCCACTAAGTAGGTAAAAGCGACAATGAATTTTAAATTCATATTGTTAGATTTTTTAAATTATTTCTTGGGTATAAAGAAATGTATAAACATACCTCATCACAATAAATATTAAAACTATCCCATGACTTTATATCACTTTTTTCTTTTAAGATTGTGAAGGGCTCACTACTGTCAATTTTTGCTTGTGGCCTTCATAAACATAATTGTTTTTACACAAACACATGGACACACTGTAACTCTAAACTAAATTGTGTATTTCAGATGTATCACATCCTACAACCTCATCATCTGCAGAGAAAAATCGCTACTTAATCACACCAAAATGATGGACGTTAAGGCATCATATTGATTGGATTGTGATTGTTTCACTGAAACTTGGTCTTCATCACATCTATTTTTTGTTCTTATTTTGTGTTTTACTTCATGTATTTATTCATGTTCAATGTCAATTGTCATTCATTAATGTATTCAGCTAATAACTGTT